AAGTCGTAGAGCAGCCCATGAAAAAGCTCTTTTCATGAAAGTTGTCCTAAGTCATAGAAACTATGAAAGTTGTCCTAAGTCATAGAGCAGCCTATGGAAATGCTTCTAGTAGCTGCTTAGTGTGTGTGCATGTGATGTGTATCTAACATAGATGGCCAATAATAAGGAAGTGATGGGTTCATAGAGGGGAATATTTTCCAGTTACTCAAAATTATCCTTTCAAAGGCTATCTCCTGATATTAGAAAATACTCACAAAATACAATGTTAGGTGAAAAGATAGGAGACAAAACCATGTACATCTAATTCAGTTTGTACAGTGGTTCTCAGACAGATGGGAGCTTAGCCTAAGAGCAAGGGAGACTGTTAGATTTTAGTAGAGGAGTGACATACCAGACTTGCATTTTGAAATATCACTCTTGGTGGTAGTTTTAAAGTGGCAGAGGCTAGTGCTTTAAAGCGGGGAGCATTTTGGGGATACTTTTGGCTGGGAGTCCAGTCTGGGATGGTGGAGGCTTAGAGTAGGAGGGTAGTTGTAGATGTGCTGAGAAACAGCAGCATTCCAGACCCAGCTTTGAGGCAAGCAGTCCGGGTGCTTGTGGTGCATGAGGAAACAGAGCTGCCAAGGATGATTCCTAAGTGTTTGGTTTTAGTGACAGGGTAAGGACCCTTGATGGAGGGATAAAATTCAGGGGTATGGGAGATGAAAAACTCAGTCTGGAACACGTACGTTTGGCACAGTGGGAAGGTGTTCCAGTGGCAGTGTTGAAGAGGCTGTCGGATTGAAATCCTAGTGTTATAAATGTGGATATGCCCCAAAGGGCTGAGAGAAAAGTCCTCCGACATGCTAACAGTGGCCTTCTCTAAGTTATGAGCAATTTTTATTGTCTTTATTATAGTATTTTACATTTCATAAATTTTCTGTAATCACGTAGTTTTATAATCAGATTACATTCATCATGGAATTATAGCAGTATAAAAATTGCATACAACTTATATGCATAACAATTATAGCAGATTGGTAAAAAATAAGTAGGATGATCTTGAAAACTGTAGCCACCTTTTTTTTTTATTATTTTTTTAAAGATTTTATTTATTTGTTTGAAAGAGAGAGAGATCACAAGTAGGCAGAGAGGCAGGCAGAGGGAGAGGGGAAAGCAGGCTCCCCGCTGAGCAGAGAGCCCTGTGCAGGGCTTGATCCCAGGACCCTGAGATCATGACCTGAGCTGAAGGCAGAGGCCTAACCCACTGAGCCACGCAGGCGCCCTGAAAACCCTGTATCCACCTTTTAAAAGAAAAGGTTTTCAGTGTTATTCAAAAAGGAAAAGTCTTTAAAAATAAATGAAAATTTTATTTTATTTTTTTAGATTTTTTTTTTTATTTATTTGACAGAGATCACGAGTAGGCAGAGAGGCAGGCAGAGAGAGAGGAGGAAGCAGGCTCCCCGCTAAGCAGAGAGCCCGATGCGTCCCTGAGCTGAAGGCAGAGGCTTTAACCCACTGAGCCACCCAGGTGCCCCCAAAATAAATGAAAATTTTAAAAGTAAAGTCTGCTGTACTAACTTGAGATGAGGAGAATCTAGAATCTATTGTAAACTATAATATAAATCGATAGACTTGCATTATTAATAATTAATATTTTATCCTCAGTTCATACATGAAAGAATCATAGCCTGTTTGTCACTAGATTTTTAGTTTGACATACCAGCTTTTAGTGTGGACATTTGAAATATATTAAATCTTTGTAAGTTTACCAGATTCCTTTTCATCAAGGGCCTTACAATTACTAGTCATGAATTTATCATACATTAAATTGATTTTTTTGAGGTGATTATTTTTCTAAGGGGATCATTCACTGCTCTAGTGTTTATTTTGTTTGCAGATAAAAGTGCTTAATTACATCTCCTACCTGCATTATTTGAAAGGATTACAGTTGCCATAAATCTTGTCAGCAATGTTAAAATTATTTTAACTTGAAAAGATGCTTCAAATCTTGTGCAAAATGAAGCCCGTTTGTTCACCACTCCGTCCCAGTTCTAAATGAATTCATTTTGTAAAGAAAAAAGACTACTTCTTCCGAAAGTTCACTGAGAATTTATGTTTTCCTTTTTTCATTTTTAAATTCACAGATTAGTTACATTATTATGTATTATATAATAATAATATTATTATATATTATAATATATAACATTATTATTATTATATTACATTATTATTATGTATTAGTATTAATACAGTTTATAGTACTTAGTGTACAAGGACAATCACTCTATTTCAACACTTAAAAAAAGGTTAAAAGGCAACACTGCTACTTCGGATTGACAGAAATTTACTTCGTAGCCTTCAGCTACAGTTAATCACATGTTAAATAATACAGCATAAACCAAAGGCCTTTTTTTCTATTAAACTCAAATATAATACAAACGAGATTGTAGCTTCAGGCAAAGTAGAATCAAGCATAGTTATAATTTCTAGAAATTACCAGTATGATTATCTTTTATAATGCAAAGCATTTCCTTGTGCTTTACAATTGCATATGAGCTGAATTTACCAAAGTAAAATTTAACGGAGAAATATTTATTCCTTTAGTCAGCTCCCAGACACACTCGAACATTTAGAAGATGGACAAGGCGTGATTTAACAGCAGCACTTTCACAAGCAGCTGGGCCTATTTTAACTGACTATTAGCTCAAATTGGGGAACTTTTTACTCGGAATACAGAAGTACTTTCTAATGACTAAACCCGTTAAAAATGGAATAGCCTAACTTCGGGGAAGGTATTGAGTTTCTGTCCCTGGACATTTGTAAAAAGGACCAGACATCTGCCTGCTCTGGATTTTGTAAAGTTGGACCATAGACTTCTAAGGGTGTTTCCAACTCTGAGTATGCCGGCTCAGTGATTCCTCCTATGAGGCGATGTGTGAAGTATTTCTGTCACACGAAGTGGTTTTCTAAACTGGTATTACCTTTCTTGCCACTTTTTGAAGTAAACTAGACCTACAGAAAAGCGAATGTGTTGCACATGTACACAGCTTGATGAATTTTCACAGCCCGAACCAGTCTGGAGAGGGAGAAACACCATGACCATGACCGCTCCCCTGAGCTCCACCCGGCGCCCCTCCCGGCACTACTTCCCCCCTCCTCAGTGCTCGTTTCTCACTCTGTGGAAGCTTGGTGCTCGGTCGCTGAGTTTTGTGCGTTATATACCGGGAATCATCCTCTTTTGCGTCTGGCTTCTCTCTTCTAACGTGATGTTTTGAAGATTCATTCATGTCGTTGCAGGCAGAGCGTTCATTTCCGGGCCCAGAAGTGTTCCATTATGAGATTTGTCAAAATTTACCTATCATTGATGGCATTTGGGTAGTTTCCAGCTTGGGGCTTTTACAAATAGTGTTGTTAAGAACCGACGTGTCTTTCCGCGGACATCATGCACATTTCTGTTGGAGATATGTAGCTAAGGGTAGAATTGCCTTGCCACAGAATGTACACATGATCAACTTTAATACGGCCAACAGGTAGCCAGAATGTGTGTCTTCAGGCCCAATTTTAATAGGGTCCTACCATATGAGAAGTGTTAGTTTTTCCAAGACTTCATAAGCCATATAGGAAAAAAAAGTCTTACTTGAGGTACCTGATAACTCTCTTTTATACTGTATTTTTTTTTAAAGATTTTATTTATTTATTTGATAGATCACAAGCAGGCAGAGAGGCAGGCAGAGAGAGAGGAGGAAGCAGGCTCCCTGCTGAGCAGAGAGCCCGATGCGGGGCTCGATCCCAGGACTCCGAGATCATGACCTGAGCCGAAGGCAGCGGCTTAACCCACTGAGCCACCCAGGCGCCCCTATATTGTATTTTTTAATACCTTATCTCCCTTTCTAGGTTATAAACTCCTTGAAGGCATTGTTTGTTTTTTTTAGAATATGTTTTTTTATTTTTTTTATTATTTTTTATTTTTTTATAAACATATAATGTATTTTTATCTCCAGGGGTACAGGTCTGTGAATTGCCAGGTTTACACATGAAGGCATTGTTTTATTCATCGTTACATTTCCCAAAGTCATTTGCATTGAGTGACTCTAAATTTAATATTTTTATGTGAATGGATGAGGAAATGAGAAAAATTTGTATGTAGTATTAATTTCTTTTTTTTTTAAGATTTTATTTATTTGACAAAGAGACAGATCACAAGTAGGCAGAGAGGCAGGCAGAGAGAGAGAGGGAAGCAGGCTCCCTGCTGAGCAGAGAGCCCAATGCGGGACTCGATCCCAGGACCCTGGGATGGTGACCTGAGCCGAAGACAGAGGCTTTAACCCACTGAACCACCCAGGCACCCTGTAGTATTAATTTCAAGTATGTTTATGAATTGCAAAACTTAAAATAGCATACCAGATAAACTACAGGGGTGATCTTTAAGTGAACAGAATAAATATATTCATAGTAGCTAATAGATTTTCCTGGATTCTATAAAATTTTATATGGTTATATGGGAGAATATGAAGTTGAATTGTATATTTTCAACTATTAGACTTAAATCCTGGTGTTAGCTCCCACATAGAAGCTTGTGAATATTGTGAAACAGAGAGCTAAGTTTGTTAGACATGAACTTGAAGGTGAATGAGACGGGTGTGGTGAGGGGGTGTGAGAGGGCAGTCGTGCCACAGAGCACTCGTGAGGGCTCTGGAACTTCAGTTTAGGTCATAGCTTTATCCCTTCCCCTGGTTCTTCTGTGACTGGCAAGAAGTAATGATTTCCCTCTCTCGTGGGGAAGGCCAGTAAGAGTTTTATGAGCCAAATGGAATTTTAGTGGCTTTTTAATTTAGCGTTACCACTGTTTTAAACTGCTAAGTTAGGATATTAGGGATTTATGGGTGGTTTCCCCGTAATGCTTTTCTCCACATTCCAAATTTCATTCAGCAAATACATATTACTTTTAAAATTAGAAAATATTTTTAAAAAATAATTTATGTTGCAAAAGTTGCTACCTTGATTATTTTTTATTTCAGTCTTGGCCTGCCTATGAGGATATCTATAAAAAAATGATTGAAATTGCCAAATTCTTAGATTTGCCACGTTTTCCAGACATAACTGAAGACTGCTATTTTCACCCAGATATCTTGTGTATGAAATACTTGATGGAAGTCAATCTCCCTGGTAAGTGTAGTGTATGTGGTGAGGAAGCCTTTACAGACTTGTAAAATGACAATGAACAAAACAGAGAATTCCTCTCAGATCACGGATAGTTAGAGCCTCCTGACAGGGTCCATTTTAACATGAAGCTTAACTTCAGAATCCTTTCTTAAAATATTTCAGGCTATCTGGAAAGGTTAAAAGGACCTTGTTCAGAAATAAAGAATTCTGTTTTGATGTGAGGGATACGCTTGGTTTTTACAGTAAGTTTGCTGAGTGCAGTGAAAGTAACAAATGTTCCAGTATGTGTTCTTAACGAGCTGGATGCCCCCCTTCTGAAAAGAAGGCCGTGCTTGGTCATTTGCAGGGTCGTAGTGAACTCTTTAAGGTGATGAAGCACGAAATGTGGGGAGAGCCTCACTAGACCTTGTTCACAATATACCAAGACACAGGTCACCCGGTGGAATCTGCCAATGGAACCCGGTCCTGAATTTCTTACAAAACTAGAAATGTGAGAAATTCAGGACTTACATTCTAAAGAGAAAATACAGATATGGTGTGGTTAGCCTCTTGCTTAAACAGTATAAAACATACAGTCGGATATATTTTTAATAGGGAAGGAAAATGCATATGTTAATGAAGAAAGCAATATACAAAACTGTGTTTGTAGGTATGGTATACCTCCAATGATAAAAATAAGTATAAATATGTGGTAGTGTATGTATATATTACATACACACACAAATGTAATAGTAGGTAATAGAAGGACCACAAGGGATTACCAGAATGTAACTGACAGGCTGGCTCATGGCAAGTGTCTGGTTCCTGTGCTTGCCATTGGACGGAGAGGGGGAGTAGAGTCCACAGGACATGGTGAGTGAAAGCATGTAGGAAATGCTACTTAATTCAGTACAGTTGATTGTGCTCTTATAAATACTAGCTGTTCACTTAAAAATACAATATTGTACATCTTGGGTACTTAGATTAGTGAGTAAAGAAATTTACTTAGTAATTGAGAGTTTTCAAAGTATACTCACTTATCTTATTTAATCTCAGTTTATCCTCCCACAGCTCATTTTACAAATGAAGAAACTGAGGTTAAGTGACTAATGCAGAGTCACAAAGCTAATGATTGGAAAACCTAAATATATAGGCCCTGGCTAGGCTTTCTGGTGCCAAGTGCCACATTATTGAGCTTTGAATAATAGAGGCTAAACCGACCATATGATTTCCTTGGGAAAGCAGTGCCTCAAGTTTAATGTGCACGGAGGCTCCTAGGGTGCCAGCCAGCAGGTTAGTGTGCATTCCTGGAGAAGCTCTTGGTCTTACAGGGGATTTTGTTTCAGGCAAGTGCAAATCGCTGTAGAACACAGACAAGGGAGTTGTAGGAAACGGTAGAAAACGAGCGTGTGGCTGTGTGTTAGGTACCAGAATGTGTCCCAGATGTAATAGATGCTTTAGGAAGTCCAGAGAGGAAAAGGCCTTGCCAGGATTCTACCATTTGTTTTCCTATACAGATACCATTTTTTGGTTTATTTTATTCACAAAATGTGTTCCCTCAGTTCTAGCATTATGCCGTGTTTTAGGATAATAAAGCTTATCTTACAGAGGTACACGTTGGTATGGTCTAGTTAGGCAAAGAATTAATTCACATTTTACTCTTTTGTTCTTCAACAGATGAAATGAATGATTTAACCTGCCAAGTGGTAAAAATGACTGGGATAGGAGAAGTGGATTTTCTGACATTTGATCCTATAGCTAAAATGGCAAAAACTGTTAAATACGACATACAGGCCGTCGCTGTCATTGTCGTAGTGTTGAAACTGCTCTTTTTATTGGATGACAATTTAGAATGGTGAGTGTATGTCAGTTTTATGAGGAAAAAATTATACTGTTTTTACCTAATTAGTCGGAATACAGGAATCCTTATATTATCTCAAGAGAAAATAGAGCCTCTCAGTTGCAGAACACTGACTAGTACCAACAATTACTTCCTACATGAATTTTGACTCAGCTAGTTGTCAGAGAGTTAATTCTACCTTAGTAAGTTGTTTGTCTCATGTTGTGTTCCTATTTTTTAAGTAGATACACGTGTTCTCATTGCTTCACTGATTCCCGACATTAAATCATACAGAAATTCTAAAGAATCTTGTAGCAGTTTATCTGTATGTCTTTAGGCTCCTGGCGCTATGCGACTTCAAAGATTATTTCAGAAAGTAAACGCAACTTAAAGTGTCACTCCTTCCAAACGCCAATAAACAATAGCAGTGTGTAGAGTGATTGCTTCTCCATTAAAAGTTAGCATAGGTTTCAAGTGCTAGTCTATATTTTTCTTTCAGAAGAACTCAAAATTTAACTGTCTTCAAATAAGTGACTTCCAAATAAATTGATGTGCTCTATGGTTTTTCCAGGACTTTGTCTAATATTGCCGAAAAATATAATGAAAAGAACAAAGAAGGTACTTAATTTTTTGTCATTCAAATTCAGAGTGATTTTAAGTGATGGATTAGAAGATACAGTAAATGTAAGGAAGACTTTGAAAAATGTACAAGTACACATAGACAAACACGTGTGTATGCAAATTGTGCCTAATACCAGAGTTATTTCTTTATATAATTATCTAATTATACATCTAGGCTGCTAAATTTCGGTGATTCCCTGCGATGTGTAAAGACCAGCCTGCTTTTTTATTCCTGGCTTCTCCTCCCTAGCCATGCTAGACCGAGAGCTTCCTGGCAATTCCCTGACTGTACCATCTGTTGTGATGCCTCAGCCTTTGCTCATGCTGGTTCTTCTATCTGAAATGTTTTTCTTCTTACCCCTCAGCTCCCCCAATCCCTGACAGATCTGCCTTTATTCTTCAAGATTCTACCTTCTCTTCATACCCACTCCTGACCTTACCACTTCCCAGATCCGAACTAATCATTCCTGCCACAGTTGCTCCTATCCAAACATCTGTTAGAGGTTAGCACACTGAATCAGAACTGGTGCACTAAATATGTCTATCCCGGTTCGATTGCCAGTGTCTGTAGAGTGCTAAAAACAGCTGACACAGAGTAAGGCCCAACATAAATGGTAGAAGGATAGGTAGATTATAGCTTCTAGAGGCAGGGACCATATCTTTCTTTCTTTTTTAATTTTTTAATGGATCTTTAGTGCCTAACATAGTGTCTGGCCTGAGAGCAATTCAGTGAAGTTGGGTAGGTGTATGAATTCTTAAATGCAATTCTAGTTTCTTAGTTCCCTCATTAGGATTTATAGTCATTGTTTTTTTTTATCAGCTTTATTGAGGTATAATTGACATACAAAAATTGTAAGCGATTTAAAGTGCATCTTGTGATGATTTGTACTATGTACTATGAAAGGATTCTCTCATCTGGTTATACTCATCACCTCACATTTTAATCATGTGTGTGTGTGTGTCTGTGAGTGTGTGTGAACATTTAAGTCCTATTCCCTTGGGAGATTTCCTTGATATAATACACTGTGATTCACTACAGTCACCATGTTTTACATTAGATTCTCAGAACTTACTTATCTTAGAGCCAAAACTTTGTACCCTTTTACCAACCTCTCCCTATCTCGTACCCCCACAGCCCCTGAGAACTACTTTCTACTCTGTTAGAGTAGAAACTACTGTTTTTAAGAGCTTTACTTTTTTTTTTTTTTTTCAAGATTTCACATATATGTTCATTGGTTTTAGGAGCTTGGATTTAGTGGTAGAAATCAATTTGTGAGTTCTTTCCAGAATACATGCTAAATACTTCTTTCTACACATCGCTTTATGTCAGCGTCTACTCAAAGTGAAAGGTTGACCGGGGTGTCTTCTAATGTCCCTTGTCACACTCCCCATGTCTATAAATAAATAAATAAATAAATGGTTTTAGTATGATCTAGTTAGGGCCACAATATAGATAGGAACTCTGTGATGGACTGCTCAGGAGTCATGTTAAGGTATGGAGACAGTGACTCCATAATTCCCATAATGCTGACTCCATAATGTTTAGTTATACCAAAGAATAGACTCCAGTGAATAATGTATATGGTTATAATATGACTTATTTGGTTACTAATCATGGATTTCATTTATTTCAGATAAGCCATGGTTTGATTTCAGAAAATGGTACCAAGTTATGAAGAAATCTGTTGATGAGAAAAAACAAAAGTGGGAAGAAGCCAGGGCAAAGTATGTTGTCTCCTCTGGCTTTAAGTTTACCTGCTTGATTTCCAAGTCTGTTACCTTATATTTGAATGCTGAAGTTTCAGCAGTTAGACTACTTATTTTGACATTTTTTTCTAGAAATATTAGCCGCTGTGTTCTAATCGACTTTTTTTTTTTTTTTTTTTTTTTAGTCAGACTCCAGATTTTATTTGGATTTCATCAGTGTTTCCATTAATGACCTCTTTCCAATCCAGGATCCAATCCAGAATACCATATTGTACCTAGTTATTCATTTTTTATAATTTGCATGAGTCATACCTACATTTCTAATATTCTTCCTTCTTCCCTTTTCTCAAAGTTGATCATTTCCCGTCTGCTTTCCAATATTACAAAGATTAGAGTTACCAGCCCGTGATGTACATAATTGGAATATTCCCCCAAATAAAAATCCCTACAAAAATCAAAATGGAGGAAAGCACAAAAAAGAGGATATTTAATTCAGTCAGTCTCATCATTTGACTTTGAACTCTCATTCTGATGTAGGTTCATTGTGATAGAGTGGAAGGAGCATAGCCTGTAGAGACAGACCATTCTGGGTTTCAATCCTGATTCCAGTACAGACTAGCTGTGTAACCCCGGGCAAGCTACTTGATTTCTTAGTCTCCACGTACTAAAATTTAGTTTGCTTATAAATTTTCATAGACACTATATCTTACATAATATAGAGTATATTTCTATTGATCTCTGATTTGAACAGTTTGGTAACTGTTTTTAGAACTTTGAGTCTTTACAAGCCTTTGAAGAAAAAGTTAACATCTCTGTATTTTATGTAAATTTATATTAATACTCAATTGATCAACTAATTTTATATACTTTGAGAAAAATCAAGGCTCCTAGAATTAGTTCAACTAATTCGCTCAGCTCCAGGTTCCTCATCAATGAAATAGGGATAATAATGCCTGATTTGTGCTCTAAGAACTAAATTTTAGTTTTCACAGGTAAAACTGCATTATTTTTCCTCTACATTTAAGAGAGCTTTTAAATAGAGAAACAGACTTATGGGGAAGAATAAAGCACTGTGGGGAAGAGGATCCTTGCCAAAAAGGGGAGAGGGGTAGTAATTTCTCACTATTCAGGTTTGATACATAACGATGAAAGAAAAGAGGTGGGGTATGAACTTACTCTGACAGCCTGTGGGTGCCCAGGAAACTGGGTCCTTCCTCTTCTTTGTCAGAGAAGGAATGTCTCTTTGGTCTTTGGATCTCAGTGGTTACAAGAGTATCAGGAAGAACAGAAGTTCATTCTCTTGCCTTAGGTTATCTTGGGAGTACCAGCCATGAGGCCTGCCTTTTTGTGGTGCCAGCAGGGGTTGTCCTGGCTGATACCAAGAGGCTAGGTATTCAGTGACCCTGCCACTCAGGCATCTCAGTGGTAACTAGGAATTCATTAGCTCAAGCCAAGCACCAGCTTACACCGCAGACATGGCTGTTGGAGCCCAGATTGATATTTTAGCATTTAGCTACACATCTTAGACTTACTGACTTTTAGGTACGTTAGGGGAGAGTTTAATGACCAAAGAGAGTATATCTGTTTCCAAAATGGCATTTTCCAGGGAGAGACCAGGGCTCAGGGAAAAGATTGTCCAGGGGATACACCACCAAGATCCTTCTGTATGGAGTAGGTGATTTGAGCTAAGCGAAATCCCACATGTAAATCACTAATGCCTAGTGCTCAGGCACAGAGACCTTGTGTGTGTGGTCTGTTACCTGCCTGTTTCACCCTACTCCACCCCCACTGTTGACATTAATTGGTAATTTTTTCTCCTGTTACTCTGAACATCACCTTCCATGTTGTTAGATGAAAGTTATTAAAGCATTTTCCGTAGCTAAGTATGAATCCCTATGTAGGAGATTATGAAAACATCAGTAAACAGTAGTTGACAGCCTAATAACCGCTTAAGAGGTTGCTTTGATGACTTCCACTTGTCATGGAAGATGTTGGGAGGAACATGGAAGAAAATTTAACAGCATGGGCAGAAAACCTTTTTAGCCTTTTGGGTTAGGCAAAATCTTGTAGATATGATACCAAAAGTATGATCTATAAAAGAAAAGAATTGTAAATTGGACTTCATCAGAAGAAAGAATAGCTGCTCTTCAGAAAACACTGTTAAGAGAATGAGAAGCTATACAGTGGGAGAAAATATGTGCACATCCCATATCTGATAAAACATTTGTATTCAGAAGAAAGAATTCTCATACAGTAAGAACACAAAAACCCAGTTTTTTAGATGGACAAAAGATTTGAACATAAGATTGTGAAATGATGCTCGACATCATTAGTTAATAGGGAAATGCAGATTAAAAACCACAGTAAGATATCATTACATACCAGTTAGAATGGTCAAAGACAAAGCTAAATGAGCAAAAAAACCTGACCATACCTAATGTGGGGATTTAAAATGGGGCAGCCATTTTGGAAGTTCGACAGTGTCTCGTAAAGTTGGACATACATTTATTACACTACCTATAATTCGCTCTCTTACATCTTTACCCAAGTGAAATGACAGCTCCACGTAAAAATCTCTGTTCGAGTGTTTGTGGTGGCTTCATTCACAGTGGCCAAAAAGTAGGAACAACCCAAACGCCCTTCAGCTGGTGGATGGATAAACCAAGCGGAGTTTATCTGTACGATGAAATACTGATCAGCAAGGGAGGGAACAAACTTCTGACACATCCAACAATATGAATGACTTCAATGCGTTACGCTGAAAGAAAGTCTCAAAAGTTTACCTATGGTATGACTCCCTTTATGTGACTTTCTAGGAAAGGCTATAAATTGCAGGGATGGAAAAACATATCAGTAGTTGCCTAAGGCCAGGGATCTGGGAGCATGGAGAGGGATTGACTGTTAAGAGGCATGAGAGACTTTCGGCCTGATGGACCTGCTCTGTGCGTTCACCCTGGTGGTCATCACAGGACTGTTGTTTGCCAGAGCCCGTGGAGCCGCACACTGAGCACGATGGGTTTGTGTGTACATTACACCTGAATTTTTAATAGCTGGGAAACAAAACCCTATGGGAAAACTGGAGAGGAGGATGCAGAATTCCTGCAGAAAACATCAGGACTTTGTGAAGTGCCTCTGTTTTTTGTAGCTTTTGGGGAAGAGGTAAACAAAATAAAGTACATTTTAAAAGAAGGAGTATCTGTACAGAAGGTTATTCTAGATCACTTTTCCCATTGTCTGGGCATAGGGCCCCAAGGAAGTAATGCCCTAGTTGCCACCAGTATAGGCATTATAAATGCATGAGAAAATCTGTCTAGGTTAGGTATTTGCAAGAGATTTTTAATAGTGGGTTTATCCACCGATTAGGATTAGACGCTTTAGGAAACTTCTTTATTATATTTTTACCTTGAGTATATCGTTACATTTATTATTTAAGAAAACAAATTTTAAAAAGATACTTGAAAGAATCACAAACCTCCTTTACCGTAGGGTTCAGTGACAAGTTCTCTGATATATTTTAAATGTGGTATGTTCATTAAGATTTAGTTCACACATAATTGTCAGGAAAACTGTCATTATTAACATCCATTACATCTTTATATCAGAAGACTGGTACCTACTGTTCACTTCCTATCCGTTACCAGACGTACCTCTGGTTTAATCCTCAGCAGAAGGGGAGCTGGGCAGCTGGGCAAGGGCAAGGAGGAACAGTTGTTTCTTAGGTGGTGGATTCCCTTTCTGAGAACAGACAGCAAGAGAATTTTACAGTGAGAGAAACCATTTCTACATTTTTGTATACTATCTTCTTCAGGACCTTATGACATCTGGGAGACTTTTGGGATGAGCACATAATTCTGTTGGCTTGCTGTCCCCTTCAGGGCTCCTTGCTTGCATCTGGGACGTAAGACCTGTCAGTGGGTCATTGTAAGGCTGAGCCCTTACACGGAGTATTAGGAATTTCAGATGTTGCTTCAGAGAAACGTTTCTGAAATGTGTTTAGGTCCATTTCTTCTCCATCCTGTTCCAAATGTTTTTCTGCCTCATACAGGTATGTGTGGAAAAGCGAAAAGCCACTCTACCACTCATCCATTGACAGAGCAGTGGTATATAAAAGAAGAGGTAAGTTGCATTTTCTCCTAACGCCATTTAGTTGCATTGTTGTAGAAAAGCTAAATATCTTGACTTCCTGAAAAGTGAGTGCCTCGGGGCACCTGACCGGCTCAGTCTAGAGAGCCTGCGACTCTGGATCTCTGGGTTGTATTTCGAGCCCCATGTCCAGTGCAGAGATTACTTAACTAAATAAATTTAAAAGTGTCTAAGGGATTATTTTACTTCTTCAACAAGTGTTCCAGTGCCCATCCAAAGACATAATCCTCCTCCGTTAAGAAACCTCCAGAGCAATCTGTTTCAGGAACATTGTACTCTTTAAAACAGAACTTAAGTTCCCACCAAAATCTGAAATCATCCTGTATTTCTATGACTTTCAGAACTTTTTCTGTGGAGAATTGCCTCTAAGGTGTCTTGTTCATTCTTTTTTTTTCTTTTTTTAATTGTAAAAATACATAAGATTTACCATTTAACCTTTTTTCCCCTTTGCTGATTTTATTTTTTAATTTAATTTTTTTCAGTGGTCCAAGATTCATTGTTTATGCACCACACCCAGTGCTCCATGCAATACACGTCCTCCTTAATACCCACCACTTTAACCTTTTTTAAGTAGTTCCCCAGTTCTCCTCAACTGCTTTCATCTCCCTCGTTGTTACCCTCTTCCATTATCATGGTGCATTTGTCCAACTAAGAAACCAATGTAGCACATTGTTAACAAGTAAACTCATCTGTGGTTTAACTTTAGTTTTTATTTTATTCCTTTCCTTTTTCCCTCCGTTTCCAGAAATGGTGGTGAGTCTACAAAAACAATTTAGCGCACTGACTGATTCAGCACCAACTGCTGAAAAAAAGAGTCCTTCAAGTTTTCAGTTCAACTGGACTGAAGGAGACTCTGCTGGAACCTGTTTCCATGGCCATAGCCTCCAGGGGATCCTGAAGAAGAATGGCCAGTCACTGACAACCAAGAATTCACTCTATTGGCTTAGTACCCAGAAATTCTGTAGAAGGTATGTGATGCTTTCAGAAATATGGGATAAAAAACATCATGAAATCTCTAATTTGACCTGAAGTAGTATTCTTTCCTAATTTGAAAAAGTCACATAAAATTACAGTTGACTGTATAAGAACTGGATAGGTTATTTGTTAGAATTAGAAGATGTTGGGCTTACAATCAAGAAAATTGGAATTATACGTTGTGTCTTGTTCAAGAGTTTTAGGGATGGAAGTGTTAGCTGACCTTACTGTGGTAATCACTACACGACACATGTTGCACACTTTAAATCTAAGAGATGTTATGTCCATAGTGTCCCGATAAAGCTGAAAAAGGTTTTACACTTTAAGGACTTTTTTCATCATGCCTTTTAAATTTTTTTTTAAAGATTTCATTTATGTATTTGACAGATCACAAGTAGGCAAAGAGGCAGGCAGAGAGAAGCAGGGAGGGAAGCAGGCTCCCGGCTGAGCAGAGAGCCTGATGTGGGGCTTGATGCCAGGACCCTGAGATCATGACCTGAGCAGAAGACAGAGGCTTAACCCACTGAGCCACCCAGGCGCCCCATGTGCCTTTTTAATTTTATACTAATTTCATTGTATACTAACCTCAGTCTTTGTCCCTAGAACCTGTTCACAGGGCAGTTTCCCGTAGTGAGGAGGCCGGGCCATGAACCAGGCGTTTGTCTGCTCTGCTGCTTGCGCCTTGTGGGCAAGTCATTTACCATATCTGCAGCCGTTGGCCCCTTACGAAGTAGCGTGCAAACGAGCTTGGGGCAGCTTGTAGCTTTAGGTTTTCCCCCTGGCACAGACGCGTGTCCTGCTGGTCTTTCTCCTCTTCTGGGAACCTCCGGTGGCTCCGCCTCACATAGAGTAGAGTTAAAAGACCCTAAGGAGCCTACAGGCCCCTGCGGTTCTCTGACCTTCCTTGCTCGCCGCCTCCGCTCCACGTTCTGCCTCGTTCACGCCGGCCTCCTTCGCTGTTCCTTGAACTTGCCAAGCACACTCCCCACACGGGCCTTTGCACGTGTTGTGCCTCCCACCTGGAATGCTCTTCCTCCTCGTGGCCGCACAGTCCCGCTCTTGCTGGGTTTTCTTGCTCGCATCTCGTGCACCATCCTGTCCGGAATAGCAGGAACTCTCCCTCCCCCTCACACACACTCCTCGCCACTCTCTATCTGCTCCCCACCCCCGGCCTCTGTTTTATTTCTTACGGCTCTTGTCAGTGTCGAATAGAATATTATATATTTGTTTTGCTTATTCGTCTGCCCCTCCACACATACACTAGAATAGAATAGAAGGTCCTTGAGTGCCGGGACTGGATTGTCTTAGTTAATGAAAAATCCCAGAGGCTCGAACAGGGCCTAGCATGTAGTAGGTGCTCACTGATTAACGTGTTGAATGAATGCATGGGAAACAGAGAGTGAGGATTCAATGAGATTTTGGTGTCTGTCACATCGTAAATCTCAGTACACGCTAACTGCGATCATTACTTTGACTGAAACTGATTTTCTATTGAAGACTCTTCCTGACTATCAAAGCTAAGTAGAATGTAGAAAATACAATAGGAGAGAACAAAATGAAGTTATCTGAATGAAAATTTCCTACTCAACAAAAGCTCAGCTGCGTCTAGAATGACTACAGAGTGGCACGGTCCCAGCAGCAACAAGGAAAGGCCAGAATCCAAACCCCAGGCTCCGCTCCACGTCTGAGGGGGGCACACGTTCCTGTGCAGTGGTCAGCGCAGTGGCTTCTCCCGATGTTAAGATTTGATCAAAAGGAAGAGAAATGGTGGTAGTCCTGACCGGTGAGGGGCACCCGCATGAGACCAGTAAGCTGGGAGGTAGTGTTGTGGCTCCTGTCTCTCATGCTTGTGGAATTGGTCCTCGGTTAGCTGGGGGGGAGCTCAGACCTTTATGCTTTACCCGGGGGGGCAATCAGTGGATTTCTAGATCTTTCTAAATCTTCACGGATATAATACAGTCATAGTTACATGATACAGTTAGTCACAAATAGACCTTGTAGAGTGAGAGATGAAACAGCTGGGATTTTTTTTTTCTCTGCATGAACCGTAAGACTGAAAATTACAACCTGTAGACAAAGCTTCAGTGATACCATGACTTTATACACCAAAATTCTGTCCACCTTGCCTATTTAGACCATAGCCTAGAACCACAGAGTGGGCCAAAAAGGCTTCCACCAACCAGTAAAAATGTCACAAAGCCCATGACTAGAGCTAATGCACTTTTCTCAGAAAGCCCCTCGAGTCCCTCACTCAGAGGCGGCTCGCTCTGCCTTCGGGTGTGTTTCCGTCAGGCTGAGTTGTCTGATTTCCAAACTCGTAATCATCAAACAAGTCAGAGGGAGCCTGAGAGGTGCTCTGCTGATAGTGATCTCAACAGCAGACACAAGTGCCCTGCCGTGACAAACCAGAGAGGAGCCAGCAGCAGCAGCAGACGGTCTGGAGCTCATTCACGACACTGGGCAGTCGCTCCACATAACAAACCAAGCCCGGGGCGGGGCCTCCGTTGTACCGCAGAGCGTGACCCACAGTGCCGTGAGCGTTCACTTTGGGTTTGTGTTTCCTAGCTGCATTTTCTAATATTTTTACAGTAAAACTGAACAACTTACAATAATATAATTATACCTTGTGTTTTTATACTAATTTCATTTCATCCTAATTTATACTATGCGCTTATAATTTATGCTAATAATATATAGCTCGGTTTTCAAAGATGTCCGTACAAAATAAATGTAGTGTTTTGATGCTTACAAGAGCAGAACTTCCGCTGTGTAGAGAATTGTGTTACACAGAAGGACTCCTGTCTGAGGGTTCGAGAGATAAAGGTTGTGCAGTAGAATACCTGCGAGAGCGCTTGGGCCACGAGGACTAAGCAGAGAAAGATCGTAAGAGCACTTCAGACACGAAGAGGTCGTTTATGCTTCTTATCTGAGGCAGAACGGACAGTCCCTGTGAATGTAAATGCTTCCCTAATGTTCCGCGCGTGTAGAAGTGCGCTTCTGGAGGAGGCCGGTCACTGGCCGGTCTAAAGACCTGTCGCGGGCCCTGGCTCATCAAGCGTCTGTCCCCGGCCTCCCTGAGAGGGGCAGGTGGCTCCGCGCTCCTTCCCCAAGAAGAGGGACAGCCGAGGTCCTTCAGGTTGCCGCCACAGGAAATGGAGAGGCTTTGGATGCCCCCTGCCCCCAAACACACTCAGATTTGTTTGGGTCCCACAAAAATTTGATTTGAATTTGAAAATTTTTATTTTAACTAATATTTTAAACTAGAGTTAAAAAAACAAACCAGTACTCAAATATGTATGTCGTATGCCAAATTTGAACATTTTTCAGACCACCAAAACTTGAACTTGTTTTGGCAGGTTCATTTAATTTTGCAGGCGTACCGACTTGAGAGACTATTTTTGCATACGTTTGAACTTCTCACAAGGAAGTTCTCATAAGGAAATTCAGATGTACCTTACACCCTTCTTTTAAATATAAACCTGTGCTTATCCCTTCCCATAAAATTATTTATATAAACATATTCTTACAGCATCCATTTGCCACACTCATTTCTTTCCCGGTCAGAGCTCAAGGAACATCTGTTGGCTCATATTCTACTTATAGCAAAATACTTGGCAATCACACATTATTGTATGTTCTGTTTGGTTTTGTGGCTTATAACTCTAGGATAGTTCTCTGAATCTGTGGTAAAGAATGTTATCCTTATAAAGTATTGTTAGTGATTCGACTTAAAAGTCCTTATGGGAGCAAATAATTTATAAACCTTTTCTTATCTTTCTTGTGTAGAAAAAGAGCTTCCCTAAGTAAGAGAAATTATATTTTTTACCCTTTTTGTTACAGTGGTTTGTCTGGAAGACTCTCTCACAATAGCTGAAATTGAAAAGAAAATTGCCACCTCTTGGTGGCAAGAGGCCACCAAGTTTGTGAGAATTGTGAGAATTTCCTGTGAATGGCTTATACTTGATTTTTGTTAAACCAATCAATGAGCAGCTGAGGCTTTTAAATGTCCTGTTAGTGAATATGGCAGGGTTTTGGCTTTATTACAGATTATTAAAGTAGTCTTAAGATTTTAAATGAAAACAGGAGCGCCTGGGTGGCTCAGTGGGTTGGGCCTCTGGCTTCAGTTCAGGTAGTGATCTTGGGGTCCTGGGATTGAGTCCCGCGTCGGGCTCTCTGCTCTGCAGGGAGCCTGCTTCCTCCTCTCTCTCTCTCTCTCTCTCTGCCTGCCTCTCTGCCTGCTTGTGATCTCTGTCAGGTAAATAAATAAAATCTTAAAAAAAAAGAGATTTTAAATGAAAACAGAAATCAATTTTAAAGGAATATTGCAGAGATGAACATTTTTGAGCCCTTACTGTGTGCCTACCTTTCGGTTAAGTGCTTAATATATATTTTCATTCGATACTTTTGTTCACTCTTTGAGGTAGGCAGTGTTATTTTTTCCCATTTTGCGGGTGAGAGAACCAAGGCTAGTTATCCATAGTCACAGCTGTGGGGACAGAGTTTTGTGGTGCACACATAAACTTTCTTTCAGGAACTTAGGACCATATATGTTATATAAATCCAATATCTAAAATTTGTTTACCTGTTTTTTAAAGCCTTTTACTATGGAAAATTTCAAGTATATTCAAAATTACAGAAAATAGGGCCGCCTGGGTGACTCAGTCGGTTAAGCAGCTGCCTTTGGCTCGGGTCATGATCCCAGGGTCCCCCATCGGGCTCCCTGCTCAGTGGAGAGCCTGCTTTCTCCCTCTCCCTCTGCCTGCCACTCTGCGTACATGTGCTCTCTTGCTTTCTCTCTCTGCCAAATAAATCAATCAATCTTTTTTAAAAAAATAGAATAGTATAATGAACCCCCCTGTACCTGTCATTCAGCCTTAACAATTGTCAACGGGACTAGTCTTAGCTTCACCCCTGCCGACTCACTCCACCCCGCCCCCAGATTATTTGGAAGCATATCTCAGATGTCATAATATTTTTAAAAGCAAAACCATAATAAACATTGATCAGACATTAAAAAGCTAATAGTAATTCCTTAATATTACCAAATATGCAGTCAGTGTTTAGATTTTCCCAATTGCTATGAAATTTTTAATATAATTCGATCCAAATAAGGCCCATACATTGCAAGTAGTTAAGATATCCCTTAAGTGTTTTGGCTGGTAAATTCCCCTTTAATGTCTTTTTTTCTTTCCCCTTGCAGGGAAAATAATCCAGGTCTTTTGTCCTATACAACTTCCTATAGTCTGCATTTTGCTGATTATGACCTATGATACCTTAACATGTTCCTCTGTCCCCTGGATTGCCTGCACCTGGTCTAGTTAGAGATGGAGTGTTAGAGATTCGTAATTAGAGATTTAGTGGTAGTTGGAGGCTTGACCTTCTACTTTTAAGATAAGTGGATTTGCTTTGTAAACTCTTCTTTCTGTGATAGGTACAAGATTGTAGGCTACATTATCAAGTCTGGTGTCTTATTTTGGGTGGGGCTTAGGGATTATTTATTTTCTTTTGTTTTAAAACTATGCCCAGAATCTCTGCTTGTGTGCTGTTGTTTGCTCTGGGCACGGTAAAAAGAAGCAGCACATCTGGAATGGAAGGACTTCTGGGCAAGGAGTCGTGAGCGCTTGCTCTAGACCGTCTGTTACCCTGGCATGGTAGCTGCCCAGGCATGGTGCTAACATGTTTTCCTCTGTAAAATTGTTTTGCCAAATTGTTCCACGTTTCCTTCCAACTCTGAGTACTGTTTTCAGTCTGACCATATATATATGCCAATTGGGGGGATGTTTCAGGGATAGATGCATACATTTTAAATGGTCATTTTAAGATAACATCTTCCTTTATCTTCCCTTTCTAGCTATTGTAAACACGTGACAACCTATGAAGAATCGAATTTTTCGCTGAGTTATCAGTTCATAATAAATCTCTTCTCCTTCCTGCTGAGAATAAAGGCCTCTTCTCTCCATGAAGAAGTGAGCTTAATTGAAAAGAGACTTTTTAAAAGAAAATACAGTAAAACGAAAAAAAAATCAAGATCCAGGAAACGGAGAAAATATTGAGAAAAATGAAATAGGAACTTTCTTGTGAAAATATTTTAATACTGATGATAATGTCAAACTATAGTATTCCAGAGAATTATGGGAAATAGAATTTTATCTACACATACATAGATTCATATATATGTATCAAATCGCTTATAAAAATGTGTGTTGGAAAATAAGTGAATTGTGTTTGAATTTATTTTTTAAATTATGAATATTCTTTGAGAAGATTAAAACAATAAGTTTGTTAGGTATCCAGAAATGGTATCCAGAAATTTGAATTCTTTGTATTTTAAAGCCAAATTTGCTTTTTTTCTTTTTTTCTTTTTCTTTGCTTTTTTTCTTCTTCTTAAAAGCTAAATTTGCTTTTAAACTAGGTCACTTCCTTACTCTTTATTCCCCAAAGGAAATCCCAGATGCATCAGAGATCTAAACATCATAATCTTTTACATGTATATATATTGCTTAGAAGAAAACAAGTATGGCTGCTTGGATGATCTTGGAACAGGGAAGGACTTTCTGAGCATGCCCCAAAACCAGAAGCCAAAAGAGAAAAATTGGTAATGTGGCTACAAAGTCACAGGCAAATAGCAAGTAGGAAAATATATTTGCAGCATAGGACAGACAAAGGAATAATTTTTCAATGAATTAATAGCTCTTGCAAAGCAATAGGAAAAAGACAAGCTGTGCAAGGACTCTGAAAAGATAGCTTTCTGGAAAAAAGAAATACAAAGGTCAACCCAAAAAATGATACAAATTAAAATAGATTACCGAAGATATATAAAGGTCTATACTATCCGGTAAGGATATTAGAAAACCAGGCGTTCTTGTTCACAGTTTATTCATGCAAGAAACACTGAGCAAGTGTGCTCCAGGCATATTCTAGGCACTGGAGACAGGGCAGAAAACAAGGGGCCTGCCTTTGAGGATTTTCTCATTGGGTGGAGGCAGAGAGTAAACAAATGGACCGTAGTTGAGCTAATGAGGTGCAAACAAAGAAAAAGCAAGGTGAGGGTGTCAGGTGGGCCTTTTTAGGAAAGGTGATTGAGGAAGGACTTGGGAGGTGACCTTGAGCAGAGATCAAGTGGGTGGAGAAGCCCCAGTGCTCTCCAGGGGAAGGTTATTCCGAGCCGAGCCGAGGAAACAGGCAAAGGCTCCGAGCCAGAGTGAACTGGATGGAGTCAAGGGATAGCAAGTTGTTCAGGGCAGCTTGAGTGAAATGGAAGAGTTCGCGTTCGGGGCCGTGGTAAGAACTTGGGCTTATATCCCAAGGGTGTCACGGGAAGCCATTAGCAATTTTTGAGCAAAAGAATGGTGTGATCTGGGGCGCCTGGGTGGCTCAGCTGGTTAAGTGTCTGCCTTTGGCTCAGGTCATAATCCCAGGGTGCTGGAATAGAGCCCCACGTCGGGCTCCCTGCTCAGCCGGAAGCCTGCTTCGCCCTCGCCCTCTCTGCTGATCCCCCTGCTTGTGTGTTCTTGCTTTCTCTGTCAAATAAATAAAATCTTAAAGTAAAAAAAGAAAAAACACAAAGAATGGTGCGATCAGACGTGTGCCATAAAAGGAGCATGTTGCTCTGTGGTGAGTAGATGCAGGGGGAAGTGGGCAGAAGTAGCGCCCACAACAGAGACTACTGTTTGGTTTGGGCAAGAGGTGGTGTGCATTACAGAGGTTGTGATGGAAGTGGTAGGAAGAGATTAGATCCCAGATACAGTTTACGTATGAAATAATAAGGATTTGGTGATGGGTCGGTTGTAGGTGTGAGAAATCAAAATGCCCTGATTTCTGCCCCCTGTACCATTTATTACGATGGGCAGCTTTAATTTCCCCCATTCACCCTGTTTGGGAGGGACGTATACTGGGTTGGTCACAGGGCTGTGGGAACCCAAGATGGAATAGATGAGACTGACAGCAGCGTAATCCCATATACTTATACCTGGGAGAGGACGCAGCACACTCTGCAGGGCCCGTGGGGTCACACTCGGGAACAGAGAGCAAGGGACAGGGAGGCAGGCTTTGTCCTATCAGAGGGATGGAGTGACCCCTTGTTCCTGCAGGAGCGTATGATTGACTTATTTGAATAATCCCATGGGCAGGCAGGAACTCCTCTGATCTTCTTAATAAGGTGCTTTTGGCTAGGGAACCCTATCCATGGGAGCCGAGTGGGGAGAGGAAGTCAAAGTTAGGCCACTTTGGGGTCCTCCCAGTTTCACCAGATGCCAAGGCCACACATGGTACCAGGCCTTGATTTTAGGCAGTCCACCACAGGGGAACTCAGAAGAGTGGGTATTGGGAAATCAGTGTTGTTTGGGCATATTGAGTTTGAGATCCCTGTTAGTCACTGGAGAGACCTCAAAATCTGAAGTTGGAGGGGCAGGGGTCAGGGCTAATGTAAATGTAGGAAACATCAGAATATAAGTACTATTTAAAAACTGTGAGGCCAGCTGGGATCTCCTAGAGGGTTTGCATAGATAGAAGAGATCTCTGTGAATGCTGTTCCTGCTTCAGCAAGTTCCCTTCCACTCCTGGATTGCAGAGTGGTTTGTTTTTTTTAATAAGAAATTAATGTTGGTTTTGTTTTGTTTTGTTTTTCAGATGCTTTTCTTGCATTTGTGAGATGATGGTATGGTTTTTTTCTTTTTTAGCCAGTTAATATGGCATTTACAATATGGTTAATATGAAATTCAGTTGAGTTTCAAATGCTAAACCAGCTTTGCCTTCCTAGGATAAACCCCACTTGGTCATGATCTGTCATCCTTTTTACATATTATTGAATTTGATTTGCTAAAATGTTAAGATTTTTTGCATCTATGTTCATAAGAAATGTAGCTTTCTTTCCTCCATTACCAGAAGGAAGATTTGTGGACATTTCGGTAAATATAATTCAATAAAAATGTCTTGATTATCTATCACAGTGGTTCTCAAAATGTGATCCTTGACCCAACAGCACTGACACCCCCTGAAAACTTACTAGAAATGGAAAATTCCAGGCCTTATCGCTGACCTGCCAATTTAGAAACGCAGCGTGGAGCCCAACAATGTATATTTTTGTACAAGCCCTCCCAGAGATTCTGCTGCAGACCCACTAATGTGAGAACCACTGTTGGTTCTATCACGTAACCGTCATGTTCAAAAACAAATGACACAGAGTGGGAAGTAAGGAATGCTTTTAGGCTGCAATTAACAGACTCCCCTCCAACTACTAAACCAGAAGTTTTTTGGTTTTTTTTACATAACAGAAGTTCTGGAAGTAAGTCATACTAGCTTTGGTTCAGTGACCCAACTGTTCTTGCTTTGCCGTTCCCAGCACATTGGCCTCTAGTTCTCAGCTTGCTTCCTCATGGTCACAAGATGGATGCTGCGATTCCATACAGACAAATCCTGGTAGAAGGTGAGAACTATGACTAAACATTTTCCCAAGAGTGTCTAGGGAGAAAACCTTTTCTAGAAGCTCCCCGGTAGAGTTTCCTTTTCATTCCATTGGCCAAAACTGCGCCATCACGGGCAAAGGGGAATAGGATTACTATAACTGCTTTAGACTATCCCGATGCATTCCTACCTTCCCTAGGATTAAGGATCTTTCTCTATTATTTGAGCAAACTTACAGTACTATTAGCAGGGAAAGGCGGAGTTGGGGGGGGGGTCTGTCTGTTGATAGGCAATGAGCAATGTCTGCATATGTGGTCTCTCCTCTCTAGTTCAAAGTCTCAACATCTCATATGTGCAAAATATGACGCTGTGGTATTATGGGCAAAACAATTCCTAACATCTGCTGATCGTCTGCTACCAGGGCATTCGGTTAGAAATTTTCCAACTAGGGGCGCCTGGGTGGCTCAGTGGGTTAAAGCCTCTGCCTTCGGCTCAGGTCACGATCCCAGGGTCCTGGGATCGAGCCCTACATCGGGCTCTCTGCTCAGTGGAGAGCCTGCTTCCCCCTCTCTCTCTGTCTGCCTCTCTGCCTACTTGTGATCTCTGTCAAATGAATAAATAAAATCTTTAAAAAAAAAAAAAAAAGAAAATTTTCCAACTACTGGCATCCAGATTTGCTCTATCTTTTTTTTTAAAGATTTTAAAAATTTACTTGTCAGAGAGAGAGAGGGGAAAAGCCCAGGCAGGGAGAGCAGCAAGCAGAGGGAGAATAAATATTTAGCAAAGTGAGAGTTGAAATCCCTATGAAGGCTGTTCCTCCCAACCATCCTCCTTCCCTAGATGGCCTTGGGTTCAAGGGTGAGATGGAGGAAGAGCCCCCACCCTATATGTGTCCTCTAGGTCCTTGCCAGGCTCTGACGCACGTGGTCATCGGTGCTGATCGCTCTGCTAGGCTCCCGCTGGCTGGGGTTGTCCACAGGAACGCAGGTGCTCAGCTCCACCGGCGCCCCCCATACTCGGACTGCGAGAATGACGGTGTCCCTGGGCCACCTCCACTCTCCGGGTGCCGTTTCTCCTGTGTTGCAGTCCCCCCCACTCCCGCCATGGGCACAGGGTATCCAGTGGGTGGTCTCCTCAAGGTCTGTCTCTGCTTGGACACTTGCCTCAGCTCTATCTAAACTAGAAAGGCGCCCAATGATGCAATAAGGCAGAAGCAGGCTGATGCCACGACAGTGCACTGGTCGAGCCCCGGAGGAGCACAGAGGGGAAGGTGAGGGCGCAGGTGGAAGGACCGCATGGCGGAGCCGGGCTCTCGGGAGGTGTGCTCAGGTCCCAGGCTGTCCCTGCGCGGAGCAGGAAGCGAATTTTTAATCTCCTTTCAGGGGAAGCAATAAATTATTGCTTCCCCTGAAAGGAGATTAAAAATTCGCTATTTCGCCACTAGAGTGACTTGTAATCTTTGTGGATTTGGGTGGAATCTCTTTTATGAACAAAACTTATTTTATGTTTTTTTAAATTAAATTCCTTACCACTGCAGTGAAATATAATTTTACAGATTAGGGGATCACCCTAAAAGGAAATAAAACCAAGTAATATTTCACATGGTCTCAGCTCCCGTAACTATTGTAATCGTATGAAAGCAGATCCTTCCAAGGCCGGGAGGGGTGAGAGCAGAATGCCATCGGTACTTCTAGAAAAACAGTCTTTAGATTGTTGTGTCTGTCGGTGACCAGTCTATGCTCA